AAAGACTTCTGGGTTTCTTCCTGTGGTGATTCTCACTGTTTTTGGTACATGCCACTGTTAACATCAGATGGTTCTCATCTCAGTCATGAAAATCAGAGTGTTTTCAGCTTGTCATAGCCATTGGGAAATGTGGGCTGCCCTCCTCTCTCTCTGTCTCGTTTCTTACATAACATACTGTACATGAGCCACTGCCATCCCCCAACAAAATCTGGAATGTCTGAGGTCATAGCTGGATAGCCATGAGAATCTCGCTTCTAAGCATTTGCTGCCAGGCTTCCCTTCCCCGGAAACAGCTCTGAGCCCTCGGCTCCAGCCCCCAGGGACAGCTCCTGGTCAGGACCACTGTCCCATCTCACCGGACACGCTGAGTGGGCGGCCCAGAGGACTGAAACCTCCCTTTTGAGACCACAAAGAGCCCACCACTTTGCATTTTGCAGACCTCATTAGCCCCCATCTGTCTCATATTTACAATTAAGCATCAGAAGCGTCCCGCTGAGCCTGGCAGTTGAAGTGAAGGGCGCACCGCACATCGTGGGGTTTTGCAGTTTGGGTTTGCCAAGCCCTTTACAGACAGTGATGCAATAAAGAAATCGGAAACTACGTACACGAGGGCGTGTGTGTGAGTGTGTGTGTGTGTGTGTGTGTGTGTGTGTGTGTGTGTGTATGCGCCCTGCCGTATACAGAAAGATGACAACTCCGTTAACCCACCCTTAGCTCACCTTAGTTCATCAGAATCGATGGGGACTGAGACTCTGCCACCCACACTTCCTGCCGTTTATCCTCTTTTCTGCTTCTTCCCATTTTTTCGGCTCCTTTTTCTTTCTGTGATCTCTTTCTCTCCCAAAGCTCCATTCCCACCCCTGGCTGTTGACCTGCACCCACACCTTCCACCTCAGCTTGGCTTTCCATTCCCACCCCTGGCTGTTGACCTGCGCCCAAACTTCCACCTCAGCTTGGCTTTCTCCAGGGACCATGTCCTTGATTCTTTGGCCATCGCCACGGGGCTAGCCGCCACCTCTTCTCCCTGCGCTTGCCTTTCCCCGTGTGTCAGTGCTGTCTGAGTTCACTCCTCCTCCACCTGAGTTTCTCAGCATGTTCCCACCTCAGTCCCTAATCTGTGACCCTCTGCAAAAGCCTTCTACATGCAGGGGCTGGTGCCCTTCTTGGGAGGATCTGCCTGAGGAAGGGAAGACAGAAGTCCAGCCACGGTGGCTGCCATGGACCGGCACCATCGAAAGCCTGCCCACGAGTGGAGGCTCTTGGTGACAAAAGCCCCATTCATGTAATACATTTTACAGACACGCCAGAGGGCGATGAGCACCTCTACCCAGACACCCAGCTCCCCAGGAGAGAGAAACTCAATCAGCCCCAAATAGCAGATCTCATTCCTTCAGATTAACCACAAATTGGGTTTGCATCCCACGTGCAAATGAGCTTTCTGTAGCCTCTCTGCGCAACAGACCTTCATGCACAAAGACCGAAGGGGTAACCTCAGGAAAAGTGTATTTCATCTTCCTCCTGTGCCTAATTCCTGAGCTCCTCTCTCTCTAATTATGTTTATTCTAACGTAAGAATACGGTAAGTGTCAGAGTGTCATGAGATGAATCTATGATCTAATTTATTTTTTCAGGGGAAAAAAATGGGACGTGAAACACCTATTTAAGTCAGGTGTTCTGAGAATGATTAAATGAGAGGAACAAGAGGAGGGCCTAAGTGTAAGGTGCAGCTGAAGAGGCCTGCTGCCACGGAGTCAACCTGCTTATTACGCCGTACGACGTGAATAATTTATCACACTTTACCCTGCATTAAGTACCGCTGAGGATTCATCTGCAGTTTATTTGCAGACCATATTAATCCCTGCCTGCCTCATTCTGCCGTCTCCCAGGGGAGGTTTGTGGAAAATCTCTCTGCTGCTCTTGTGCCACATAAGCAAGGACTGCACAGCAGAAACTAACCAGCCTAACTAACTAGTTTGCTTCTGGGAATGCATCTGGGGACATCAAGTCTCCATGCTGTCTGCTTCTGGGGCATTTTTCTCCTCGTAACCTTCCAGTCCTCCCCCCCTCCCTTCTTTCCTGCCTTCCCCCCACCTTTTTTTGATGGAGTCTTGTTCTGTCCCCAAGGCTGGAGTGCAGTGGCATGGTCTCAGCTCACCACAACCTCCACCTCCCAGGTTCAAGTGATTCTCCTGCCTCCGCCTCCCAAGTAGCTGGGATTACAGGCTCCTGCCATCACACCAGGCTAATTTTTGTATTTTAGTGGAGACGGGGTTTCACCAGGCTGGTCTCGAACTCCTCACCTCAGGTGATCTGCCTGCCTCGGCCTCCCAGAGTGCTGGGATTACAGGAGTGAACCACCACACCTGGCTTATTCTTTTATTTCTACGCCATACACCACCAGGCTGGCTAGGTCCTCGCATCTCATTCAGGACTCACAGCCAAAACCTTCTAACTGACCTTCCTGCCCGGTCCTCCCCCATCCTCTAGTTTATTCTATATATGACTAATGTTCCTAAAATCCGATTTTCACCCAAACGTTCCTTGGCATGGAAGCCTCCACTGGCGGGCCCTGCTCGGGGACACAGCTCTGCTTCCTTCACCCAGCACCTCCGCCTCTCCATCCTCACCTGCTACTCACACCCTCCCTTTCAGCGGACCAACCCCAGGTCTCCCTGAGCAGCCAGACTCGCTCCCACTGCCTCAGGCTTTGTCTCTGCCCTCCTCTCAAAGGAAGTCTGCCTCCGCCCTCCCTGTGCCCAGCCCAGCTGAGATCCCCACTGCCCTGTGAACTCATGACCACACAGGGCTTTCCCTTCTTCCAGGCAGCTCCTGACCACTCCTATCCATTGCGGAGCAGCTCTGCAGCTGGGACTCTAAGATGTCTGCCTGGGGAAACTGAGAAGTTGCCATCTGGTTAGAAGCAGGGAGGGGACTTGTCTCAAAGCTGTGGTAGGAATTCAACTGATTTTATTTATTTTTTTCGAGACGGAGTCTTGCTCTGTCCCGCAGGCTGGATTGCAGTGGTGCCATCTCGGCTCACTGCAACCTCTGCCTTCTGGGTTCAAGTGATTCTTGTGCTTCAGCCTCCCGAGTAGCTGGGACCACAGGCACGTGCCACCATACCTGACTAATTTTTTTTATTTTTAGTAGAGATGGGGTTTCACTGTCTTGGCCAGGCTGGTCTAGAACTCCTGACCTCAGATGATCCACCTGCCTTGGCCCCTCAAAGTGCTGGGATTACAGCTGTGAGCCACAGCACCTGACCTTCAACTGATTCTTTACAGCAGTTTTTCTAAAGGGGCTTGTACTCACATTTTCTGTAAGATTAAGGAGACATCCCCTGCCCATGTCAAAAACATGATTTTTAGGTTTTTTTGCGGCCGGAGTTAGGGGCTGCGGAGGTGATTCATGAAGATGAGGGACATCAAATGTACCACTCCAAGCCACTCCTTGGCCCTGCCACTGCCCTTGTACTATTAAAGGAAGGGTAAGAGGCATGCTGAAACAAGTCCTTTGCATACACGAGCACGATATACAGGATACAAAGTGCAACTCCAGGTGTCAGAATTATTTGCAGAGAGACTGGGCATGGTGGCTCACATCTGTAATCCCAGCACTTTGGGAGGCCAAGGCAGGCAGATTGCTTGAGGTCAGAAGTTCGAGACCAGCCGGCCAACATGGTAAAACCCCTTCTCTACTAACAATACAAAAATTGGCCAGGCGTGGTGATGCATGCTATACTCCCCAGCTACTCGGAAGGCTGAGGCAGGGGAGTCACTTGAACTCGGGAGGTGGAGGTTGCCGTGAACTGAGATTGCGCCATTGCGCTCCAGCCTGGGTGACAGAGCAAGACTCCATCTCAAAAAGAAAAAAAGGAAAGAATTATTTGCAGAATTATATGAGTCCAAGTTTCTGGCTCATTTATTTGCCTCACATTCTGCCATCTTATTTGGTATTCCAGACATCTTAGGAGGCCTCTGCCTGCCCTTCCCGGTGCACCAGCCCTCTGGGATCAGCAGGCAAGTTCGTTAGGAATGCGCGGCCCCTTCCACATCTCCAAGTGATCCTACACCAGGGCGTCTGGGAACTCGTCCTCTGTGTTCCCCTCCTCACCTTGAGGTGGGGTCACCTGGCTTTAAAGGGCCACCCTCCCTTCTACTTCCTTTACTCCCACTGAGACTATCTCAGACCTTATCTTATCTTTAGAGCCTCAAAATCATCTTTTCTTTGTCCATTTCCCAAGTGTGACTCTTGCATTAAATCTCTAAGAACCAGGTAGCAATGAATGAAGGAAGGAATGCCGTCCCTCGAATTTCCGCACCTGCAGGAAAATATCTGCACTGCCCAGGTAGTGACCTTTCAGGCACATTGTCTCATGTCAGTCCTGAGGTTCGGAGGGGTGACGTGACCTGCCCCGGGTTAAGTGGCTGTAAGTGGATCACCCTTTTCAAGGGACTTTTGGGCACTTCGGAGCACCCCATGTTTCTGACTGAGCCAGGTCCAGGGCTGATGTTTACATGCTCTCACAGTAAATGACCTTCACCAGTACTGACCTACATACCTACCCAAAGGACAGAACAGGGACAGGTTTGTGAGCCCAAACAGGATGGGTGGCAGCTTTCTGCAGTTCCTCTCCATGGTGAGTAACTCAGCCTTCATCCCTGGAATGTATCAGAGAACTGCTCTCAGTCCTCCCTCACCGGATGGCCTCACTGACTTCCCAGACACACAGGTTACTTCCCCCTTTGCTTCCTGCCCAGATGCATTTCCAGCTGCAGCCTCAGCCCGCAGGCCTAGCAGGCACCTGGCAAACAGCTGCAGGTGACCCAAGCTGGCCCAGCCCTCAAGGATCAACCCGTGGAACCAAAGGCAAACAATCCCAGGACCTCTCATGGGGTGACCAGGGAGACAGGCACAGGGGGCTGCTTGCCCTGGGGCCGAGTTCTGGTCTTAGACAGGGCCAACCGCAGGACTGCATAAACCAGACAGACCCAGGGACACCCCAATTCCAGAGTGGGAATTCAGTGTACACTTGAACAAGACCTACTGGCCCCACTGCTCAGCCCCTTAACTCAGCATCCCAACAGTCAGCATCACGCGTAGACTAAGAATTATTCAACACCAAGGAAGCAAATTTGGAGGAAATCTAGAAATCTTAATGAATTTTCTGCACTGGAAGAAGGGATTAAAATCTAAGGGAGGTAGAAGACTGAGAAGAGGGAAAAAAAAAAAAAAAAACCCAAGTGTGGCAAAAGAAACTATAATTAAAACAGCAAATTGCAATTCGAGGTGGGGGTTGTGGAAGGATAAATGAATGTAAAGACCAAGGGACATCCAGTGAAGCGTCTGACAGAAATGATTCCCAGGGATGTTCTGGGAGAAAAATCCATCTGGAAACAGAGAAAAGGAAATGAAACAAGAATTTGCTGCATTATTTAAAGCTTTCGGGGGAGGGGGACGTTCAGGAGAGAGGAGGTTGAGAGAGATGAGAACGGAATTGCTCTACCAAAAGGGATTAAAGGAATCATAAGGGCTTTTTAAAATGACTCAAGCAAAAAAAAAAAAAAAGGGGTAGGGGGATGCAAATAATTGTAAGCTGTGAAATTAATGGTGGCCAAGATTCCTAGTTCATTCTTTAAATCTGGTTAACAGGAAAAATGAAGGAGAGACATTTGTATGCCTGGGGAGTAATGGAGTCCTGGAAAATGCAGTTCTGGAGAGCGCTGGCAAGACAGAATGCATGGCAGAGAACACGTGTCCTGGGAGAGGGCAGAGCAGATACCCCATGGCAGGACAATCCGCTTACCTCAAATACCTGCATTTCCTCCCTTTGATGTCTGGCTTCCCAAATATTTGACTCTTTCATGGAAGGCTCCACATGATACCCAGAAATTAGCAAAGTCAAAAGATCCTCTTGTAAAAAAAAAAAGAAAAGAAAACACACATGGCATCAGAGGCCGGGCTTTGCATCTTAGCACTGTTACTTACTAGGTTTGTGACCATGGGCTTGTTACTTTGCCCATCTAAATCCCATGGCTTCAGAGAGCTGTGGTGAGGATTCAGCAGGATTGAGTACCAGCCTCCCACACTGTGGGGCCCAGGGCGGGTCGTCAAATGGAAAGCCTCCGCCTCTTGCCAATTTCTTTGTTCGAAAGGACCTTGTGCCTTGAATCCTTCCCTTGAAACACACCCTTCCCTAGGATCCCCGTGTTGTAGCTCACTGGAAAACACATAGGCCTCGAACCCTGATGGGTAAAAGTCACCTGAGCCCCAGCAGTCTTTGTTTCTTTTTGAGACAGGGTCTCACTCTGTTGCCCAGGCTGGAGTGCTGCGGCGCAATCTCAGCTCCCTGCAGACTTGACCTCCTGGGCTCAGGCAATCCTCCATCTCAGCCCCCCACCCACCCACCCCAGGTGGCTGAGACTACAGGCAGGCGCCACCACGCCCAGTTCATTTTTTGTATTTTTGGTGTAGAGATGGAGTTTCACCATGTTGCCCAGGCCAGTCTTGAACCCCTGGGCTCAAGTGATCTGACTGCCTTGGACTCTCAAAGTGCTGGGATTGCAGGCGTGAAGCCACCGCGCCCGGCCCAGCTGTCTTAACGTCCTCACCCGAACTTCCCCTGCACGGCAGTCCACCTGTCCACACAGCACGGCCACTCACATCCAAGCCCACCTCGGGGCTTTGTCCCATCTGGGCTTCCGGCCCCCCAGCTCCTTCCCCTGAGCCTTTTTCCAGTCCCTTCCCAGAGGCAGCCCAGCCCCACCCTTTGGAGCTGCCTGTACGTCCCGAGGGAGTACAGCAGGTGGGTATACAGCGCTGGTTCTGGGAGGCAAGGATGCTAAGGCTGCCCTGCCAAGAGAGGCTGTGGGGAGAAGAGAAAGAACAAACAGTCTGGAAACAAAGCTGGGTTCTAAGCAAAGAGTGGGAGGGCTGGGGCCTCAGGAGAGCAGGGGATTGTTGAGACGTGCTGGGGACGAAATCAGCAAGGCCCCGTGACGGTGATGAACCAGCTCTACTGCACAGAAATGACGGGGGAGCCTAAATGGACCCATACCCCCTTCTGCTGGGAACACCTGGCCTGCCTCTCCAGGGCTGACGGTGGCAGATGACTTTCCAGAGCGCTGCCAGGGCTGCACTCTACTGCCACTGGCCACTTGACGCCTGCCCGTTTTTAAACAGCTGCACCAGATTTTTCATTCTTTAACAGAGAGTCCATTAGGATCTTCAGCTTGTGTTGGGAGTGGAGCGGTGTGGAAGATGAGGCTTTTCCTCAAGCTGCACCCCCAGCCTTGCTCTGGCCCTGAGGATCCTGCCTGGCTCCAGCCTTTCTGCAATGCTCACCCCGCACTCCGGCGCGCTGCTCTAATCACGTGCCTGGTGGTAGTGAAGGGGGAATTACATCTCTGCCTTTCAGGTCTACCATTTTCGGATCTGTGATGAGACTGTGACAGACCCACAGAACCCAGGACTTTCCACTACTCACTGTGCTGCTTCCAGAGCTGAACTGTGCTCCGCTGTCTGGGAGATGGGAGACAGCTGCTTATGCATCCAAACCCCCGACTTACCAACGCTCCTGCAGGGACGCAGGTGACCTCCATCTGCAACCCTCGCCTGGTGCCTGGTGCACCCGCCTCCCCGTGGGAATCTGATTCAGTTGGCTGTAGTTTGGGAACTGCAGTCATCAAATACGAGGCAGTGACTTGCAGCCAATCACTTACCTTCTCCAAGCCTCAGTCTCCTCGTAAAATGGGGACGATTGTACACACTTCATGGCACTACGGGGAGGATAAACTGGGAAATGCAAATGCAATCCTTTGGTAAAAGGAAAACTCTTCGACAAATGAATGTCATTATTGATTGCTTACGCATCACCCCAGGAAGCATGTCAACCCACACCCCTTGAGAAATCTTCCTTAGGCTCCTTACATAGAAGCTAGAATAACACCCCCCTCCCATTTCCCCTCTTTTTTTTTTTTTAGCTTCCATTGTATTCTAAGCTGACACCTACAGTAGCACTAATCAGCCTGTCCTGTAACTGTGGCTTTACATATCAGTCTTCTACAGTGGACTGGCCTCTTCTTGGGGGTAGGGGATGTCCATTCATTCAACAAGAGTAAATATTTCTTCCCCGGCTCACAGCAGGGGCTCAATACTACTAGAAGAATGGACTGAGGCACTGGGGAGCTGGGGTGAGATGTCAGATAGGGCCACCAGGGGGCAATCAAGTCCTTCCTAAGCATGTCCACTTGAGTCATTGCAGAGGCCTTTCTCAGAGGAAGAGGGGGCTCTGCAACATTTCTCTCTGGTGGTGAAGGCCAGGGCCTGGGCGCTGGGCCTCAAGTTCTCTTTGTGTCTAGCACCAGCTCTGTGCAAAGACAGGACCACCTACCATGGGGTCCTGAGTCCCACATCCGCCTGGAGCCTGAGAGCCCAAGATGACCCAGGAGGAGAGACCCAGGTGGTGTCTAGGGGAGTCCTGGCAAGCCCTGCCCGTGGCTCCCAGGGCCACTGTCCACGTTCTGTGCACATATGCATGCAAGTCCATGAGTGGGCCCGTGACCCCTCTGTGTAGATATGGCCATTTGCCCACCCTTGTAAGCAGCAGGGTGGAAAAGTAGCAAAGTGCCAGAAAGCTCTGGGCCCTGAGCTGCAGGACCAGTCCATCACTGACCCGCTGTGTGCCCTGGGCAAGGAGCTTCCCCTCTCTGGGCCTGTTTCCTCATCCGTGAAATGAGGGCAGTGGGTTACCTGGCTAAGGGCCTTTTGAGTGGTGCTGGCATTTCTTCTTTGTGTCTCTGAGGTGTGGGCTGACTCAAGTTCAAGGGCTTTGGTTGGGTCATCTTAGGGATTGTCAGACTGGATTGGGACCTGAATCCTTAGGAAGACCGGATGCCACCTCTGGCTTCCTTCCTGGGCAAAACCATGCCTCACTTGGGTGGCTCCCTGCCAGATGCTGCCCCGCGTTCACAGAGGAAGCCTCTCAAACAGCCGTGGGGACAGTCACTTGCCTGTCTGTGGATGCTTCCCAGGCGGGGCCACCTCACCAGGTCTCTCCTTGCCCTGTGCTTCCCCAAGTCCCTTCCCTTTGTTCTCAAGCCACCGAGGGCTTCCTCCGGCAGCCTGTGTTGCTCTCAGCGGGAAGTCAGAACCTATGCCAGACCCACTGGTCTAACACACTGCAGGCAAGCTCAGCCTGGAGCCTCGGTCTCCTGGGACCTCTTGGGACCCCCACCCCAGCCTACTCCTTTTACTTCCGGGCGGGACCGACCAGACAGAAGAGAATCCACCCGAGCGCAAGCTGCTGTTGAAATAAAGAGATGTTTCTTTATAATTTTCCCCTTGAAATAAACCCAGACTTAAGAACAACAGAAACACGCAAAATGTGTTTTTAGTGGAACCCAGATGGAGGGCTGAAAGCCCAGTGCGCTGCCTCCATGGAGGGTTCTGTCTTTGGAATTCCATCCTCTCCTCCCCACCTGCTCAGGCGCGTCCCGCCCAACCTCTGGGCTGGGGCCCTCAGGCCTGGCGAAGGCTACCTCCAGCCATCCTGACATTGCCTCCAGGTAGGCAGAGAACTCTGCCACCATTACCCTCCAGACACAAGGCTGAGCCTGGCATCTAATGAGATCTGTGGTTTCAGAGATTTGAGGGACGGGAGTGGGGACCGGGACCAACTCGGTGCAAACACCTGGATCTGCCGAAATGCAACAAAGAGAGAGTGAATGAAGACATCTGAAAAAAATACTCTAAGGAATTCCGCTCACCCACAAGGCCCACTGCTTCTCGTTAAATCATTGCAGTTCTCCATATTAACATACGCAAATCCAGCCGCACGCGCGTGCGTGTGTGTGTGTGTGTGTGTGTGTGTGTGTGTTGGGGGAGACCTAAGATACAAAGGCAAGTCCCCACAACCCCTTTCTCGCTCCCCCAAATTTGGTCAAAGGAGCTCCCTGTGGGATGAAGAGCTCTCACAGAGTCCATTTCCATGCTTGAGAGTTGTGGCCATAGGATGCTCCTACCCTGCGGATGAACACATGAAAGCAGCTTCAGGGAAAAACGAGGGAAACTGATCCACAGAGGCTGCATCTTCTAAGTGGTACTGGTCATTTGTCAACAAACATTCCTGGATGCCCACCATATGCCAGGGGCTGACCTGGCGCTAGATACACAAGAGATAGCCAAGACATCAGGACTAGCATCAGATTGCTCATGGTCTAGTAGAGACGAAGGAGAAGGAGAAAATCTGAGATTATAATTCAACAGCTGAGAGACGATGGGGACTTTGGTCATGGATGCATTCATGGCCTCTGGAACCTCCAGGGGAAGATCCTCAACGTAGAGGGTCTGATGCTCAAGAGTAAAGTTTAGGCAAGAAATGTAGATTTGGGAGTCATCAGTGTAGATGTGGGGAACGAGCCTCCTGGAGAAAAGAGTGGGAGATGCGAATCACAGTGTGGGGAGGGGGTGTCCCGTTAAAGGACCTGGAGGAGAAAAAGAGAAGCCGTGAAACGGACAGATGAGCCAAGGTCAGAAAGGTGGAGGGAGTGAGGGGAGGACGGTATCAAGGAAGAAAGGAGACACAAGAAGAAAGAAGAACTCAGCAGGGTCCAACACCACCAGAAAGGATTAAAACAGGTTTCCCAGCAGCATCAGCGGGACATCACCCCTGCCCTTTGCCAGGGCGGGTTCAGTGGTGTCATGGGGAAAGAGGCCAGGCGAGGAGGTCAGAGGAGATGGTGAGGGGTGAGGAGGCAGCGTGCAGAGCCAGAGGCGGGAGTAGGTGCCTTAGAAGAGATGGGAGGACCTACATGTGCCCGCCTCACAAGGCAGAACACAGAGCCTGGGGCTGAGCAAGCCTTCATCACAGTGGAGAGGAGTCCCCTGCTCCATCTTCGGCCCCTTCCAGAATAGTCAAAGGCTCTTCTGGGTGAGGAATGGCTAGAGAATGGTGTCCTTTATTGAAGGACAATAAACCTAAACGTTTATTGAAAAGCCACTCAGTGCCAGTCTCAACACCAGGTGCTGAGGGTACAGCAGACAGCAAGAGGCATGGCCCCGCCTCCCTCTGTGGGAAGACTTCCACCCAACCCCACTTCTGAATGGCTAACAATGGCCACGGATGCTCACGGCACAGCTCCCACTGGGGCGTGGCCCAGGCAGGGGCGGGAAAGCATGTGCGGCTCATGTGTGTCCACTGGGGCTTCCCGTGGTCCCCAGTTCTTGGCCTGGTTTCTCAGAAGAGTGCATTCCTTCTATTAAGGGATATAATTTAAGTACCAGCCCTTTGATGGTGGGGCTAGCAATGCTGCATTTTTGGAGGTAACTCTTTTTTTTTTTTTTTTTTTTTT